CCCTTTGAAAAACAAACAGCGCGTGTTTACTCAGAGATAGGAGCAGCTGCCGCACACCTGGCCAGCGCTCGCCACCTCCGCCGACCACAGACAGGGGCTTTTGTTTTGAGCCAACAGGCAGGTGGACAGGTGAGGTACAGCGCGTGTCCGAGACAAACCAGGGGATTTCAACAGCGTGTAATTAGCAACGCTGCCGTGACATTCAAACAGAGAGAAGAACGATCGTCATGTTGTGGAGGAGAGAGACAGGGAGGGAGGGAGGGAGAGAAGGAGAGAGAGAAAAGGATGAAGAAAGAGTTGGAGGTGGAAACAGACAGGAGGGTGACAGAGAGAGGAGGAAGAAAAAGGGAGGAAGGAGAAAGAGGAGGCGGGAGAGAACGATGGAGGAGGAGAGAGGGGGGAGTGAAGAGAAGAACGGGAGAATTGGAAGGAGGAGCAAGAGAGAAAGAAGAGGAGGAAGAGAGAGGGGGGGGAGAGGAGGAAGAAAGGGCGAGGAAGGAGGAAGAGGAGGAAGGAGAGAAAGAGGGGAGAGGAGAGAGGTGGTTAGAGAAGAGACAAAAGAGAGAATTGGAGGGAGGAGGAAGAGAGAAAGAAGAGGAGGAAGAGACAGAGAGGGAGGGAGAGATAGAGGAGGAAGTGAGAGAGAGTAGGAGAGAGGAAGAAGAGAAGAAAGAGAGAGGGAGGGAGGAGGAAGAGAGAGAGAAGAGGAGGAAGATAGAGATGGTGTGGAAAGAGTGAGAGGAGGAAGAAAGAGGGAGGAAGAGAGAGAGAGAGAGGAAGGGAGAAAGAGAGAAAGGAGGAAGCGAGAGTGACAAAGAGGGAGGAGGAGAGAGAGAAAGAGAGGGAGGAAGGGGTGGGAAGGGAGGAGAGGGTGAGAGAGAGAGGAAAAAAGAGGGAGGAAGGGAGGAAAGAGGGAGGAAGAGGGAGAGAGAGGGGGGAGTGGAAAGGGGAAAGAGAGGAAGAGAGACAGTGAGAAAGAGGAGGAATAGAGGGAGGGAGAAGGAGAAGAGAGAGGGAGGGAGGAAGAACAAAGAGGGAGGTTGGAGAGGAAATAGAGGAGGAGGGAGAGATGGAGATAGAAGAGGAAGAAGAGACAGAGAAAGAGAGAGAGAGGAGTGAAAAGAGCAGAGAGGGAGGAGAAAAGACAGAGAGAAAGAGGAGGAAAAGAGGGAGACTGAGGTAGAAATAGAGGAAGAGAGGGGGGAAAAAAAAGACGGACGTGAGGGAGGAGAAGGACAGTGAGGTAAGTGTTGTGTTTTTAGGGTGACCATTTTGAAATCTGTCCAGGGACTACGGATGAAAAATCGCCTCTCTGGCAAACTCTGGTACATTTACAGAAATGTTGATTAATGTACACTGTCCCTGATAAATAAAGCGAATAAATAAATAAAAAGAAAGGAGGATAAGAGGGTAAGAGAGAGGAGAGAGAAAGGAGAAAGAGAATAAAAGGGAGAGAGAGGAGGAGGAAGCGAAGAAGAGACTGATATTTGAAGAGAAAGCAAAGTGAGGAAGGAAGAGACGGGAGAGAAGAGAGAAAAGACAGAGATTAAATAAAGGGGGAAAGAGAGATGTAGGGCAGAAGAAGTAGGACTATCGCTGGAGAACTTGATGTAAACGGATCAAGTTGAAGACTATGATTTGGTTGGACACGTTCTGATAACTGAACAACAAAACAAGACTGGTAAAGACATCACACACTCTATTATGTGTTGAAAGTGAAATAAAGGCATGCATGGTGAAGAAAAGTTACAAAGAAACCACAATATCTACCTATATTTTACTTGATTATATATTCTAAAATGACAACACTCTTTTTGCAGTGGCCATATCACGATTATTATCACTATTATATCTTGTAAAATTCAGAACAGTGGACTTCTGCCTGGTCAAATAATGCCAATACAGCCTAGTCAGTCTACTATTTATAATGTTTTCGCAAGATTTTCATGACTGCATTTAAATTCAATTGAATGAACTGCAATATCCAAGAAATGCCAAAGCTCATTTTACCGAGACGAAAACATGCTGAGTAGACACAACAAGGGTGAGCAGTTTAAGTGTGTCCAAGAGCATTAAAATTTGAGAGAAGACTGGAAATATGAGCTGCTAAACTAATCCAAGAATAACATGCAATTCAGAAAATGTTTGTAAAGAGCCTAGACAGTATAATAATTGCATTGGGGATGTAACAATAACTGAAATATCGTGATATCGTATCGTCAGAAGTCTCACAACAATATCGAGAGCTGACACAATATATCAAATTATAAGTTCCTTTGCTTAAATGCATTGTTCTTTAGTAGGAACAGCAAATAAACATAGTGAACTACATATCCCATGATTCATTTCAGTGTAGACAACATGAAGAAATATGTTTTTTACTTGAATTCTTAGGATTTTGACAGTAATAATCTTGTCAAGGTATATTAAAAGCAAAAAAAGTGTACTATCTAGAATTATATCTGCCTCCCCAAAATATCACAATAAATATTGTACCGTGAGATGTATATCGTGATAATATCGAGATTTGGATATTGTGGCATTCCTAGTTTGCGTACCATTTTGCTTTTATAACCTTTTCGATTTGCTAATTGCGATCATTCAAATTGCGTTTTTTGGCAAAGATTGAAATTTATCTTGCAGTCAAACCAACCAGAAGCAACTGTGTAAATTATAAACTTCAAAAACAATTTCATGCATTAACTTTGCCATTCTAAATAAACAAAAATATGCAAAAACTGCATTTAATTTTGCAACAAGAACAGGCAGTACTCAAGTCTCTAGCCCCTGACCTTTCCGTGGTGATGGACGGTCAAGCCTTCACAAAGCAGATCAATCACAGTCTGTATATATGTAACTATGGCACCTTCATAAAAGCATGAATCATTTTAACTACATTGAAATGCACTGCTCTCCAGGGCCATGACGTACACTGACCTTAGCACCATGACGTAACCCCAACGCTGCCATAACCACTATATAAAACGCCATATAGCATAACATACAGTATCATGAAGGACTTTGAGTTTTTATTGGGTACAATTTGGGTCAAGTACATATTTTTGTATCAGGTATGTATCATTTTGCACATTTTTATTTTTTACAAACTGCAGATTAATCTCTATTACAGAACAGATTGACAAATTCAGTTGTTTTTTATTGACAATCCAAACCCTTGCACTATTATAATATTAAAGCAAGTCTTACAATAAAAAGCTTGCACTAACAAAATAATGTATCAGTATACCAACAATATCCAAATTTCTCTCTGTACGATATTATCACGATATGCATCTCACGGTATGATATTTATTGCGATACTTTGAAGAGGCTAATATAACTGTAGATAGGACACTTCTCTGCTTTTAAAATACCTTGACAAGATTTTGGTGTGAATTATTTCCGTCATAATCCCAAGAATTAAAGTAAAAAACATATTTCTTCATGTTGTCTGCACTGTTTATAAGCTGCTGCTACAACAAAACCACGCATTTAAGCAAAGAAACTTGTAATTCGATATATTGTGACAGCCCCACGATATTATTGTGAGACTTTTGATGATACGATATCACGATATTTCGGTTTTTGTTACAGCCCTACTCAATATCCCAAGTAAAATGTGGCTTACGTGCAAATATAATGTTAGATTTTGGTTCCATACAGCCTTGGTAATAAACTTTAACCTTTAACTTTAACCTTACCTCAATAACAGAAGAAGAAGATATAACACAATTGTTGTTTTGGAGAACATCAAGTATGTAATATTTTCTAAAATAAGAAAACTGAGCTGATAAAAAACAAAGATATAAAGTGATATGTCTTCACTTTTGGGGATTAGCCAGTTTTCTCACATATCTGATGGATTGATTGCCAAAATATCATCAGTATCACTCAACCTTAAAGTAGCCTCTTCAAATGAGGCAATCAAAATAGTCACCATTTGTTAGCCTAATGATAGTTTATAGACATAACGCTTTAAAGCCAATTTGGAAAGTGTTTTTTTTTTTTTTGTACAGAAGTCATAGAGCCATCCATCCCAAACAGTAAAACAGAGATTTTCCACCATAGCTGACAATAGCCTCACACTGATCCCACGTTTAAGTCCAAAACAAAGCCGGGCATGGTGGCGGGACAGAGGCACACTCCTGAGTTATGGGGACACTTTAAATTTAGCCTGTACAGGACGACCGTGTTGGGACAGTTGGGCGGTGGGATTGTGAATGGGATTATAATATTATGATATACGGCTGCGTTTTCATTTGAGTCCAGGGTTCGCTTTGCCATACCGAGCATAGCACCTACTACAATTTGAGTATCACTTACACCGGATGCCACGCCACTGTAAAAGTCACTATGTGTTTGAAATATAAGAGGATGATTTAAGATGTAGACATGAGGTGAATATTTAGACTTTTAATGTACTGTTTTGGACCAAATAAAAATATAAACAATTTGCTGGTACTTGCAGACAATAATTGGGATTAACTACTAGAAGAAGCATTTTGTTTTTAGTAGAAGCTCATCTTTAGTGCTCTCTCAGTTGTTTCAAATAGTGACAAAGACACAGGCTGGAGTAATAACAAAAACTACAAAGATAATACTAACCCATGAAAAATAAAACAAAGTAAATGGCCTACAGTGGATGACAGATGGGAAGATAAAGATTTGGTTTTCAGAATTTGATAATTTACAAATACACTTTTTTCTTTGTTTACTTAAAAAAAAATCCTATTACCTTTTTTATTTATTTAAAATGAACCATCTTTTCAGTACGTTAAAGTTTGTGAAGTTAAAGTTTGTAAAGGGTTAACTTGTGCACATTGAATTTGTAATCCACTCGCCAATGGCCAAAAAAAAAAAAAAAATCTATAGTGAGACCACGCGCCTCCACAAGTATCTCAATTTAAAACGTTAATTCTTGTCGTTTTATCTATCAAAAATCTTAATAAAATCTCTTCTTTATCGTGTTCAGACCTTAGGAGCACTGAGCATCGTCTTACCTCCAAACAGCAGCAGCATGACCGCGATGTTTCCCGGAGAGAACCCATAACTTGACCCCATATTCTCCAACCATAAGTGAAAAGTTCTGATCCAAAAACACGACTCAAAAAAGTTCGTGAGCGTCAAACACACGGACAATAAAACCACGTGGAGGTAAGTGATGGAGACTAGAGTCCTCGTTGTCCCGTACGCGGCATCTGAGCGCGCTCTGGCTCCGGTGGGTTGGTGTCTGCGGGGCGGGCTGCTGCTGCTGCCTCTGTCCGGGGAGAAAGGAGGAGGAGGGGGAGGAAGAGGAGGAAGAGGAGGAGGAGAGAGACCCACTGCCCTGTTCCTTTTAGCATCTACAGGAAATTTAAGAGCATAAATTAGCGCCAGCGGGTCAGCAATCTCATTAACACCCAGTGGCGAGAAGTTATTAACTATTATCCAGAAATGCGCGCCATTTTAAAGACGCACGGTTGGGTTTAGTGGGTTTAGTGGACGATGGGCTGCCAATTTCAATATATTTACTTATAGTTAGACAGTCCAAAGAAAACACGGAACAGCATTTTGAAATGAAAGGTTTTATTGTGAAAGGGAGTGTTTGGTTCCACGTTTATTTTTCCCGAAGCCATTAAAGCAGCAGAGGCAATATTCTATTTTGGGAGGAGCTCTATATGTTAATCAATGATGAGTCTTGGCTATAATGCACTTTCAGTATCAAAGGTTTTGGCACTCAGGCAAAATGACTGGGCCAATAAGCTGTAGACTTCGTAACCTCATAAATAAATGACAAGATAAAGCAACGTGAGTGGGGCTCTTCTAATATTTTGCACAAAGTTTCTGCTTGTTGGAAGAGGGGAGAATATTTAGCCCTATTTGAATTAGGACTATGCGCTCAACATATGCCAGAGTTTGCAGAATAAATACATTTCTTCTGTTGTTTTAAGGCAGGTTTTAAGACAGACATTGTTTTTATTTGGACTCGCTGCTGATCATGCTGTTCTGTGGCATGTGTTGGATTATGTTAGCAATTTACTATGTGCCATAGGCTAATCCTCCAGTATGTACACACATGATCAGGCCGAGCTCAAGATATGGAGATGAGTCCCCAGGCGCTGCACTGTGGTCAAGTTTCCCCAGTGACATTGAAGCAATGGGTAAAACGCAGAGGGCAAATTTTGTCAGGTTCCTATTTAACCTCTACAAATATTTGTACAACCATGTATGCAATATTTGTGAATTTACAAATTCATAATGCATTTGCCCTGTCTGCGCCTGGGGACTCTGACCCCACCAGTGGGTCAGAGAGGTTAACCAATCACAAAGCAGCATGTGGTTTTGGCAAAACAAACCAAAACACACATGCCGAAAGACATAAAAAGGCCTTTTTAGTGGATATATGGACTACTTTGTATTGGAAAACACACAGAAGGAAGAATACTGTGCATTTATGGACAGGGAAGAGTATGCGCCTTTTCTCTCACACTGATAATGTGTAGAACTCAAATCAAGAGCTTTACATGTTAATATGGCTTCTGCCAAGTTAGGTTCTTACTAAACTATCAGTATCATTTTTAGCTACTAATGAACTTTAAAAATGTGATAGTAATTTAAAGGGACAGTCCAGAATTTTGGACATAGGACCTCATTTCCTAAAGAGCCAGAGTGCTGGAGACTGTTTTTAGTGGGAGGATAACTATGACCATTGACATGCACTAGCCTAGCACCAGTGACTTGATGGAATATTTTAAAAAGTGTCTCCACGCGTCTCCAACACTCATTAGGAAATGAGGTCCTGTCCAAAATTCTGGACTGTCCCTTTAAGTTTATTAAAAGAACAACTGTGGAAGTTGTAAATCATTTGCATGACAAATTTACATTTTATTGCCAGTGTTTTAAAGTAAAGTTAATAAGTGATCCACAACAGCAGCACCTCCATGGACCAGTGGTGCTGGTTTCTCTGTGTCAGAGCAGAGCTCATAGTGGGACGTCCTGTACAGGAGGGAGCGATGGTTTGACTCTGTGTTTATGGGATGTCCTGTAGCTGGGTGCAGTGGTGCAGTGCTGGAGCCTCGAGGCAGACACCAGTCACTCTGAGCAACTCCAATCAATGTCCCACAGCTCAGTGAACTGCAGCCGAGCCACAGATCCTGTCCTGTCCCACTCAGAGTCAAACACTCTGCAATGTAAACAAGAGTCAGCTCCAACACAGGGGGTAAACACTGGAAAATAGACCTAGTTTCAATAAGAATTTTGTAAAATTATGATAGTAAGATCAGCCTGATTAGTCAGTTCATATAAGTGGGTCAAAGAGTCCAGAGTAAACAATGGTCCAAATAAAAACACAGGTGTTTTATTGACTGTTGGAAGTTCCCAGAAATATAAATATGCACTCAGTTTTAAAGAATGGTCCCCAACTGCCTTTGCCTATTGTTCCTGGTAGTTGTCTGGATGTTTGTGTCCATGCTATTGGGATTAAACTGGACCTATCAATCATGTAACGCTTTTATTTTCTATAGTATTTGATTGAGGTGCTGTCTGATAATGTTGTAATGGCTTAAATATGTTATGTATTGGCCCTTCATGTGTCCTATTATAATGGTGACCAACTCAAAATGAAAGCTAGGCCACTTTTACACATAAAAACATGTATTTTTAGTTTGATGCAACACTGAAAAATCTTTTTGCTCTGTGTGGTAATAGCTTCAATGCACATGAAAACATTTGCAAAGAGATTTTCAAGCACAAAAAACAGGATGAAAAGAATTTTGAAATATTTTAAAAGCTTCATGAACTTAAACACAAACTATTCTTTAAAATATTGTCAAACTTACATCTTCAATTGACAAAAATAAGATTAAACTTAGATTAACTTTAAACAAATTCTGTATCAATGAAGGACAAACTAAGCCACGATCTGAGAAGGACAAATGGCTGTTCTACAATGTACAAAATGAACCTGTTCAAATGGATTTAAATTTCACTAAATAAGACATTTAACAATAAAAAATTACCATGTATCATTTTTTATCTTGATGCAGGGAAAACAAGCTTGTCTAATTACTTCCAGGAGACATGTCAGCATTTTCTGATCCTGCACTGTCCGTGAATATGCAAAATGTAAGACAACACTTTCATATAATTGATTTGTTAAGCAGATCCTGTATTAAAGGGTTCATTTACACTGCATAAGAGCCCAAACCTAATCCCACTGATCATTATGGGGTATAGCCAGTCCAACGGTCCAGCAGTAGCCTTGTCCGTGGAGGGTAGGATTTCCATAGGTATCTGGAGACATATGCCCAACAAGGATCAATACACAGACAAGGAAATGTGGTGTCGTCATTATATATGTGACCACAACGGTGTCGTATGGGCTTTGTCTGAGACCGCCGCGATGGATTATGCGGGAATCAAGGAGAAATTCAGCCTGATGTGTTGATCGGATGTCTTCTTTAAAGGAAATGGAAGATGTATTTTACTTGAATAAGGAAAATTACAGTCACCAGAAAATGCAACTATGAGTGAAATGTAATGGAATCTACTGCATTGTACTTTGACTTGCTCCTTGAGTTGCTACAGCAGACCAATTTTTTTTTTTTGGTGATTTGGCAGATTTTTTTTTACTCCAGATGCCCTTCCTGTTGCAACGTCCCAGCAACTGAAGAAGGAAATGTGGGTGAACTTGGTGTCTTGCCCAGTGACACAATAGAAGATGCCAACCAAAATGCTCAGTAAGTCCCTCATTGCCATATATACTATCCTAAATTATTACACCATTATTGTAAGAATGACAAATGATAATAAAGTGAAAAGTGAACAAATAGCAGTACAGTAGTAATAGTTAGGGATGTAACAATTTCCAAATCTCACGGTACGATGTTTATTGCGATATTTTGGAGAAGCTGAATTGTAGAAAGGTTACTTGTTTCTTTTAAAATACCTTACCAAGACTTCGGTATGAATCATTACTGTCATAATCCCAAGAATTCAAGTTAAAAACATATTTCTTCATATTTGTCTGCACTGAAATGCATCATGGGATATGTAGTTTCCTATGTTTCTAAGCTGTTACTAGTATAAAACCATGCATTTAACCAAAGGAACTTGTGATTCGATATTATTGAAAGACTTTTGATGATATAATATCATGACAAATTATAGGAAAGGACAGTTGCTAAACATGAGGAAAATAAAACTCAAATCCACTATACAGAAGAACATAATTCATATCCTGAGTAAAGTAACATTACAGTTAAATAAAACAGGTAACTTTGGATGTTTGGTACAATGTGGTAGCTTTGATAGTGATAGTAACATATTGTGCCGTTGCTCAGCTGTTACGTGTTTGTTGTGGTGACCCCGATGTTCCTGTACTGTATGAGTCAGCTAAAAGCCTTTACCATCATCATTGTTTTCCGAATCATTTCTGTAGAATCTCTCAGACCAGTTTGTATCGATCACAGTTCATTTGGAATAAACTCCCTGGCATTGTTTGATATTGGAGGCACTGGTGCTGTAGTTTAATGTTTAATTACAATCAAAACCATTTTCAGATGATGATTCCAGTGTTTGTTTTTCTCAGTGGGAGAAGGTGCCAGTACTTTGCCAGTATCAACTAGAAATATAACAATTTTACACAAGATTATGGTCATTTTGTGTCAATAAAGGCAGCAGTTTTGCCCAACTACACCATAGCATCAGCATGTAACAGTAAATGCACTTAAATTTACCATAGTGAAACCTTATAAGACTGATACAAATAGTCATGGACAATTTAAAACTAAATATTCCATCTTTTTAATGGTGAAAAAATCTCAAAATAGCACCCTTAAACAGGAAAAAGACATGTAAATGAAACTCATGAATTAGTGGCTTTCAGATTATGGAAAACGGATCAAGTTTTACTCCAGGGTTGGGGTTACGAGCCTCTTGATTACATGGTAGGAGTCCAAAATGAAAATCCACTAATGTTAAATGTACTTATTTATATTGGGGAGTTGGCACTTGATCTTGATATATCACAATAGAAACCTACATATTACAATGATTATTTTACTTTCTCCCATCTCAATTAGAGGTCTACTGTTTCTGGCGGGAGGGTCCATCACCTGCTTATTAAAAATATGAATGCTTTGCCAGGAAAGTTGCACAGT